ATACAGAACTCGGCAAAGGGGCTCATTGTGCGTGGGTTTGTATTTGTATAGGTCTCCTGATAAAAATCGGATGTGTCCGGCTGCAAGTAGCTGAATGCTCTTTGTGTTTCGGAGAAGGCCTTTTGACGACGAATTTTCTGCTGCTATGGGAGTGGTTTATTACTCCTTTCATGGCTCGATCATTGATCCTCCTTTTTTTTTTTTTCTTTCATTGTTTAGGGTGCACTTTTATAAAACAATTTTTTTTAGAGATCCATGAGCACCCAACACAGGCACCTGTGCTTACAAATCCACCAACAGCTACCCATAAGGTGTGCGTACTCTTTTATGACGAGTATAAATCCATGCAATCGTTCGCAAACACTCCTCGTATCGTCCAAAAATCGAGTATTCGGCACACGCATGTATAGCTGTATGATCAGTAATACGCGCCACACATGACTCAAGTGTAATATACACCAGCATCATATCAGCATTTGGTGTACGAGAGTGAAGAAACAGCACTGCCGTCTCGTAAATTTTTCGAATAGGTGGGCATTGCAGGCGCCTCGCTAACAGTACGGTATATATAGCTTTTGCTTCCGTGACGCGATATCGCGTGTGTTGTGGCCTCTTACTCGTAAATCTGTAGACTAGCGTTTTCAATCTTCGCGGCTTCCTGGAGACTATTTTTTTTTTCTTTCGGATATTCGTACCCATTACATAAGTGAGCTGGTTTTCTTTGATTTCACAGTCCGTTTCGTCTAGGTATCAGTTGATGGGGACGATGCGGAAATAAAAGTTCGGTTGGTTAATTAACTATTGGATCAAATAAACAGCAAACGGCGGCCATTTGGCTATGTTGGCCAACAAACAATAAATTGTTGGTTATTTCAATCGTAGGAAGAAGTTCGGGATCGGCCAGGAGAGGTGATTTACCACCATCTCTGATTTTTCTCAAGAAACGAGGCTATAAAAACAATGGATACACATCAAATGTGATAAAAACGCGTTTTTTTCGACGTTCATAAATTCACCAGCTCATTCGACCAGCGTAACACTTTCATCGACCAATAAAACATCCCACTGGAGCGAAGAGAGAGAAGAAGAAGGAAAAAAGACAAGAAACGCCATTCGGCTCGAAATAATACACGCGTCGAGTGAGAGACGCACAAACAAACGGCAACGGCGCGACAACGTAAGCTTTTCACCAGCAGCCGGCTGCTTCTTCTTCTGTCACACCCGAACTTGGTTCGCACGTAGCTGCGGGAGGGTAAATCACGCGTGTCTACTTGCTATGAAATAAAGCGCGCTGTCGCCGGATTTTCGCGCCCATCGCGTACATATTACACGCGGGCGAAGATAAGACGACGACGGGCCGAGTGGAATGAGTTTCTCCCGCGCGATGTACGCCGGGGCTGTGAATTACGCGGAGTTCCGTTGTTCCTCGTTGTTGCTGGTGTTTGTCTTCTGGAAAATTGCAAACATTTTCTCGGGCTCTTTGTTTCATTTCGGTTCGGGATTGCACACGAGCTTTTCACCTCCACGTCGTGATTTTTTATAAGAAAGAGAGAGAAAAATCGGGAATGCAGATTGCGCACGAATTGGAGAAGAAAACGGAGATTCCGCGAGATGATGTGGATGTACACGCACACGTAGGGTATACGTAACCCGATATGCATAACTGAAGATCATCACGTGCGCCTCGCGAAAACTCAATTAAGCCGTTTGTTTACGTCATTTTGTTTGAATGAGCTCAAAAATGATAAATCATCGGGAGAGTTGAGCATTTCGACGATGCGCCGTATTCGCCCTGCACGAGCTTTTCTTCGTCTGCGTCGCACTGTCTGTCTCTATTTTAAGACGTGAATTTCGTGGAGCGAGTCCTTAGGCGAATCACGGAGCCATGAAAATGGTCAGCCTATGCGTCTCGCGATGGAATCGAGAGATGTTTTCATAACGATATTGAATCGCGAATTTTTGTTTATAACATTTCGTAATTTCTCAGTATATTTTTTTTATGATTCAGGAATAAATAATTCATGCTGTCAGTCAACAATAAAGAGTAATTGAAAATTCTTTGGAAAAATTATAATTTTTCATCACATGGAACAGTCAAAGTCATAGTTATGTACATGAATACGCTATCACCGTATTTGTAGTGACACAAACCGCACCGAGTGTAATCGTACGTATATTTAAACACATTTCGGATCACGAGAACCGTTGAAAAAGGGGGATTTTTTTTATATTTTGAAAAAACGTAGACAGTTTCTATAAACCGTAAAAAAAAATAATTGTGCACGTTTAACAAGGTGATGCTTTTAATTAGAATGTATTTGACGCATCTAGAACGACATACCTGTGAGCTTCGACTAGTTAAAGTTATTTTCCATTGGTTAATCGTATGTCGGCCTATTTATAAATTTATCTATGATTTATGCCCATCGGAATAATTTCACGTCGAATTTTTTTTTTTCTTTTTTCACTTCAGATTTTGCGAATACATTAAACACGTACAGTATAGACGATTATTTTTCGCGAGGATTTATACACGAAAGCTATAAATTATTTTACCTCTAGAAAGTTTCAAACTAGTTTCTTGTGTAAAGGAGCGAGTGTTCAATCTGTCGTGAGTGTTTGTTTTTATTTACGAAAGGCGCTTATCAACGTGAAAACTCAGTCGAAGCTTGCAGGTGTTGGGGTGGAAATCAAAACATTCATTTAATCGTTACTGCTCGTTGTACCGTATGTGGTAAACATCGTATAATTTTCACTCGAGAAATCCGCGTACCTTATAATCACGTACAGATTACCCACTGGCGTGATTTTTAATGCTCACAATAAAACAATAGTCTCTCGAGAGGAAAAACGCTCATCAACCTCGTACTTCACTTGAGAACAATTGAAGAGTTTGGAGGGCCACTTTCTCCTGGTTGCCATCAGGTATATATACCTATCTCTCCTCTGATGGGTGACACAAAAAAAATAACCAATTTATTTCGTTTAATTCAACAAAAGCCCTGTAAAAAGACCAAAAACCATTTTACGATTAAATTCAATGTGCTTACCGCGATTTATTTTTTTCTCAAAAAGGCAAATAAAAATGAAAAAGAGAAGAATCGCTCGATACAGTCAAGCGCAGCCTTCGCAGAAATTACCGGGCTTGCGTGAGCACAGCAAACATAGCGTGCAATTACGTGCTCATCGTCAGCTCATCCCATCTCCTTTAGTGGAAAATTAAAGTTCACCAGCAGTTGATACACTTACAAGTGCGTATACATTGTACACCAGCACCTACTTTTATAACATTATTCTCGACGGAAAATCCGTACACACCGAATACTTGTATATCGAGAAAACACATTGAAAATCCAAATTTTCTCTTTTACACATGCCTGTGGTTCTCTATTTATTGAGCTAGTTCCGAGAGAGTCAGTCTGGACCCGAAAATTCATAGGAGATCACATAGGGGTCAAGTTGGGTATGGATTAACAGTCATGCACCTGTATGCTTGCGTAGCTGTACCCCTTTGTGACGCCTCCAACCACATTATCTCCTTACGATTTGCATAAATACTCATAAACTTCCCCGTTCCACCGGACGCTCTCATAAAAATTGTAAAAAAAGAAAGAAAGCAAAAGACGGAGTGTACAGTTACGGTAGCGAGTGGGAGCTAATTGTCGAGCTCCCGAGCTCACGTGCGATTGCAAACGAGCGCTACCCACTCGAAATCGCGCTTGGGTTACCCACACCGGGTAACATAATAGCAGTATTAGCCGCGTGCCGCCCACGCGCGCGCCTGCATTTATAAATCGCGCGGTGCCGGCTTTCCGTGCGCGGGACGCCGTGCGGATAGTAGCCGTCCATCTAGCGCGGAGATTTACCTTGGGATGTGCGTTTCGTTCGCGTCAGTGCCCCTTCTCGCCTGAGTTGTGTACACGAGTGCTGGGATTTTGGCTTTTGCGGTGCTGTGGTTTTCGTGGCTCTTTGGTATAGACTGGGGATTTATCGGCGATGAATTTTCAGATATTTCCGTGGTTTTTCATCCAACTACTATTTTGGTCACGTTTGGTCGATAAATTTTAAATTTCTGTCGAGTGGTGACGCTTTTGTTTTACTTGCGACACAACTTGCCCACTTGAACGAGATACTAGGAAAAAAAAAAAAAAAAACAAGCAACCATATCGTAACGCAAGCTACGAGGTGTGGAAATTCCATTCGTTGAGCATTCAGGTGGCGTGATGGTTTATTTTTTTTCGCAATCGTCGTAGCTACCCCGCCTCTATGGTCGGCTTATTAATTCATCACTTGCATGGGTAATCGAATGTCCGCAACACCTGCGACCGACACGATAAATCAAAAGCCAAACGACTGATTCACGCACTGTCTGAGCTATCCCGCGACAATAATCGCCGATCCTTAACGATCTCTTCCTCCTCCTTATTGAAAAAATTTCGAGTAGGTGGTGACTGCGAGTGATACATTCAATCTTAATAAAACGATTGGCTACAAGTTATATACATACACTTACGCGGACACGTGTTTGTGCGTGGAGATATTATGCACTTTCACTCGGGCGAGTGAGTCTCTACACGAGTGGCCTACGCCTCGGCCTACGCGACAAGTGTCGTTTGATTTATTGGCCAGTATGAATTTGCGCTCTATGACGGGTGCACACTCTGGATGACGAGTGCTGGATCTATTGTTGTTGGCTCCCTTCTCTCGTCGTTAGGATAAACTAATTTCTTCATCACAATTGTGTTGCTCGCTCTTCTGCGTGGGTTCATGTGTGTTGAATTTTTCGCAACGCTGATTTATTTTTTTTTTTTGTTTCTACAACTAATGTACAAACTATGCGAGTATGCTCATCGATGTCTATTTGGTACAGTAATTTTTACACAAGTTTCTCCTCCAAGTGGATTAAGAGTGAGCCAAAGCCCCACGAATTAAACGAGAAGGACGTTTTTTTGTTTTCTTGATTTTGTTTTTTAATAGAAAGTACCCATGTTGTATTTCAGATGACGAATAACCAGTCGAGCAGAGAAATCGGCAGAAAGTGTCGTTTATTATAAATGCAGTGATATCAAGCAAACCATAAAAGTGGTGATAAAATACGCTAAAGATACTTACAGAGCGTGAAAAAAAATGTAACTTTTATCGGTGCGTGGTTGACGATCTCTCAAGAGGAAAAAAAAAACAAAACAGAGCAGGTATTGCAAATCAGGAGGAAAACCATCATATTCCAAAGAGACGAAAAAGGAGAGGAAATATGCACCAGTCCGCCTCTGCGGAAGCGGCCTCGCCAGGTGGCCGCAGGCTGTCGCGGAGCTTCCACTCCTGTCTGCGCGGTGCCGACCCCGACACCGAATCAGGTAAATTCCTTGCCACATGAGATAACATCTTCCTCTTTTCATAAAAATATTATATTCACAACACAAGAGCCTTGAATTTCACATCACGAACCATACCAGGGATGATTTAATCGCTCGCGAATTTTTCCAAAACGAGGTCAAGAAAAGCCAAAATTTAGTTTTTTTACGTGTCCCTGAGAAGAGATCCCTTCGTTGCACTCCTCCCCCGCGACAGGCGCCTCTATATACCTCGGCCGCGGTGGCGCACGCACAAGGTGAACCTGTTCCTCCGCGAGGGCCCAGCGATCAGTTTCTCGTCACGCCTCAACTGTATACCTTTACGCGCGTTTGCGGCCAACGCAGTGTGTGCCCTTTGATTCGTATTGGCGTATTATCCATTTCACTGTTGGTGATTTCATTTTTACGATGTCGGTTCGTTCGTTGTTATTGATCGGGTCGTTTGTCGGTGGTTTTACCTTTTTTCGGCTGGAAGGAAATCGTTATTGCTGCGGTTACACTGAGTGAGGTGAGCTTTTCGACAAAAGTTTATCGAGATGCGAAAACGGAGAGGTTAGTGGTCCCCGATATTTTCGTGCTCTTCCGTTACCGTTTTTTACCTTACACGTGCTGCCGAAGAAGGACGTTACTGCGTTCAAGTGAAAATCGCATATTCCGCTCACTCCCGGGAAAAAATTTATCCGCTACGCGTATCCCTGGTACACGTAGCTACGTTTAATGAATTTATGCAACTAAAATCCACTGATTTGTAATTATTGTAACAGTAAAACTTACCGGCCGGCGGTCAGATATATTATGCGCCGAAGCGGAGCCCGTTACGCTTCGTGCCACCGGCGCGTGTGTTCGTCTAATTTGTTGTTTACCTTTAACCAACTTGCGAGTCTCGAAACAATCATGTTTGCGAAAAATAATTACCTCCTTGCAATTGATACCTAATTTCAATCACTACTATTTTGTTCTGCAAAAACAGTCCCTTTGACTTTTGTGGATGTTTAAGTCATAACCTAGGTGTTCTCTTTTTGGGATGGTCATTATTTAGGTTTGCTTTAGCCAAAGGAACGAACACTTCGTGACGAACCATTTACGGGGGACGCGTAACGAATTGAGAGACAAAGACGGACTTCCCGGCTACGAAAGTAGTTATAATAGCTTACGATCTCTCATTACTATATATGCACCAACTGGAAGCTCCATCTTCTTCTGCCTGCGGTTGGTAATTAAATCGTTCGACAGGTTTACCTGCTGCAGCTGCCCTTGCTATCTTTTTTTGATATTTTTTTTACTTTTTTTGTTAACTGAACGGACAATACATCACATGCTCGCCTTTGATTTCGAGCAGAAAAAAGAAAATACGCTATAGTTGTACTTGGGGTGTTCTAGAAAGACCTTGACCTTCCAAAAATCCAAAGAAAGGAACAAAACAAAAATGTCATTCCTCGCGATCCGAAGCAGCTTCAATCTCGCGATGTTCAAGGGGAGATGCGTCAGTGCGCGGGCACGGCAAAAACTGATAATGCAATTACCCCCGTCTCAATTACAAGATGAAAAGCAGCCTGCGAAATCCATACCCCCCGAGTCTTTGGTTATACCTACCTCACGTGTGCTCGACAAGAGGGAAAAGGAGAGATGGGACACGACGTCTATAATGACGCGGAATTTACCTTAATGCACGAGAGAGAGAGAGAGAGAGAGAGAGAGAGAGAAGCAATTGAAGCCAAGCACGTTTTTCTTCCTCCTGCTCCTCCTTTTTCGGTGCAAGTAGAGCAGGCGAGGCGCCGTCCTTTTGAGCCCTTGAGAGGCTGCCCTTTCTTCTGCAGCTACAGGCCGTACGACAGGGCTCGCTGGTCATTCGTTAATTCACGACAACGGCGTTGCACATCTCGCGCACGGAGGACGAAGGGCGTTTTTGCGGGAGCATACATTCCTCGACTCGTGCATGGCGCGGTTGCGACGCTTGTTAGGTTTTTCCTCGGGTGCAGGCAGCAGCTTTAATGCGTTTGCAAGTGCGTCTTATGGGCCGAAGATTGAAAAATGAGAGCGAAACCATTCGCCGTTGAGTTTTTGTCGGTGGTTATACTTTTGCGCCAGAGCCTATTTTTTTTTTTTTTTTTCCATAGTACCTGTATACCTTGTAGTTCTTTTCGGAGAAAAATACGTTTAAAACTTGTTTGTGATGGAACCAATAAGTTACTCGAGGAGTATCGATTATCAGTGAAATAACTATACATTTAGCAAATACCACTGAAATACATTTTACAGTCAATCGAGCAAATTGCCCTCTTTGTCAGTGCAACGGAATATTTTGATCGATGGCTGGTACAAATAATTCAATGGTAGTTAACAAGATCTCGCGTGGCGTTGAAGTAACTGCATTACTTACAAACGACAGGGGCAGACGATTCAGATGCAATTGAGCAATATCCCTTTGTCTGTTGATCGGCAGCGTTACAATGGCTCATGTTATTGTCTCATCTCAACTGGCGTTTTTTGTCGAAGTATTTTCAACTGCCTCTGCAACAAAAAAAAGGAAAAAAAATTTGATTGAAAAAACCCGTTTCTGTGAAAAATTCTTTCTAATGGATACCCTCCAGAGAGCTGCCATACTCCCTATTTATACCCTACACCGGTATCATTATCAACATTATTGCATCACTAAGGTGCACACATATATACCCTTATTACGGTCTCGCAAATTTTTACCGCCACACTTCCTGTAACTTACAAAGCCCTTGTTCTCATCAGCAGCTTATTACTATCCATTATGTACATCGTATACCCTCATTTCTTTTATTATTACGCAATGCCCATTTTGCCTGATACTATTTTTCCATTTTACCGTGGCGTGCCTAGAGCTGTAATCTATTACACTTTGCGATGGCCATTATTCTGAAACACAGTCATCACGGACGCGATGTCATGAAGTCTGCAAAAAAAACGTACAAAAATTTTTTAATTTAATTTCCCCAGCGGCCACCTGACCTTTTCACCGTCAAAACTTTAATAATAAACTTTCGCTCGCACGTAACACCGGGTTGCGGTATAAATTCCTCCCAACCGTATGTATGTATGTATATACCCACGTAATCAAGCCAATCTACTCATCACCAGCACTGAGTATTTGCTCTGTGCACAGAGGAGGGGCCGTATATATCTCCCTCGTAAAAATTGGCATTATACACTCGCGGAAAAACAAAGAAAAATAAAAAAAAACTCGCAAGCGAAGAGAGCCCCATGGTTGGTGGAAAAAGAAAAAGATCGCGGCCGTCGCCCATATTTCTCGAGTCCACTCCTCCTCGGCTAAAGACTCGCGAGCACATTATAATTATTACAACGATGGCCCTGAACCGCGTTGGTGTTGTATGTATACCTACGCGCAGGTAACCTTGCCGCCCGTTTTCATTCACTGTCAATTATTTACCAGCGGCAAAGACCCCCGGCGTGTCCTCCTTCTTCTCTTTCTTTGCACACATCGCTTCTTTTTCCCCTTCCGCTTTTTTTTTCTTTTCTTTTCTTTCTTTTTTGTTTTTTCTCCCTCGTGTCCCTCGAGAGAGTTTTATATATCGACAGCTCAAAAGACGACCGCTTTTCTTCCCCCCCCCCCTCCCACTCTATCTCTCTCTTCGTCGCGCTGCTACTTTTTTGTGTAGTTGCTTTTCTTTTTTTCGTGATACACGTACAAATGCGAGCGGAGGAGAGGAGGGTAATTGGGCTCTTAAGCCGATGAAATTTCAAAGAGAGTCGGGGGAGACTCTTTCCGTGAATGGGATCTGCGACTGTTTGGCTCATCACCGTGGGTATCAGAAATTTCATAGGTGTAGAGTGGATGTTTTTTAATTGAATACACTGTCAGAGATGCGGTGAAAAAAGCATCCACGTGTCGTCCTTTTTTTAATGTAACAATTTCTCTCGATACTTAGCAATTTTTTTTTCTTGTATTCGTGTTATCATTACATTATCTATTCTACAGGAAAAAAAAAAAAAAAGTTTAATATTTATGTAAGATTATTACGTGCCAACGTAATTTCTTTTTCAATAAAAAGAGCATTTTAATGCATTTCCTCGATTATTTCACCAACTACTCGGTTCTCACTTTCCATTACGAATTCCAGCAGACGAGCAAAAGCAAACAAAACCACGAGTGACGATGAAAATTCCGGCCTCTCTCCCGAAACGACTCCCACGTGAGTGCAAAAATAAGATCCGGTGGAGCACAAATAAAATCGTCATCGACACTTGGGCCGTAACAAAGAGAAAAAAAATTCAGTCGCGACTCGTATTTCGTCGTTTTAGCCATTCAAGTAACGTGTGCGGGTAATTTGGGATCTAAAAAAGGCGAGGGGAGGCCCGCCGGCGAGCAACTGACCGGAGCACCACAAAGTTTTGTACGTATATATTTACTCACACGCGCCCGTACAGACGCCGGCTGCCAGACGACGTTGTGATCACTCGACATCTGGGCTACGTAAAGATATACCTATACCCTGGGCTCATTTTTTGTTTGCGTCATATACGAGCGATTCCGCGATAAAAACTCCTGTTAGTAGTCCCTACGAACTCCAGGACACGCGTTGGAGATGCAGACTTTTTATCTTAACGTGCATACTTTCAGGAATGAGAAAAAACATTGCAAAGGCAAATTATACTTTAAGAAAAAAAATTTACATTTCTATTTAATGTACCTCGTAATGTACACAAACAAGCTAACTTTTGGAAAATGCTATTGTTCAATTGTCTGTTAATTTTGATTTAAAAATTACATGGTCCCGCACAAAACATTATTAATGACATTTCATACCATGGACAAGCCGAAAGACCTACTAAGACGATTTTATTGTAGAAAAATTTGTAATAAGCTTTAATAACGATAAAAGCTCGAAAAAACGAGAGATACCTCTTT